CCAGCTGGTGCCGCGGCGGCTAAGGTGGTTGGATCCCATGTGGTCGACTTCGCAGTTTGAGTCTTGGACCTAGGTGGCTTGAAAAACACTCCAGGTGTGTGTGTATTGTGCCCAAAACGGTGAGAAGAGAAGGGAGGGAGGAACTGTGGCATGGCCATCCCCTGGGGTTGATTTCTCACCCCCTCTTTTTTTTTGACACTTGCCCTATAGCCAAAAAAAAAGTAAAAAGAACCCAACAGCCTATGAGAAATCTAGAGGTCATTTGTTTTTCAAAGGTTTTGGTTTAGGGCTTTTGAGTATGAAGAACTAAGGACCTTATTTGCTCACAGAAGTGTCATGCGTGGGGCTGGCAGTTGGCATGGTGGTTAAAGACGCTGTATTCCCACATGGCCTGCCGCAGTTTGAGCCAAGAACGCGGGAGCTTGCTTTCTTCTCCCCCCCCCTCTCTCTCTGTCTCTCTCTGGTCAAAAAAATAATAATAATAACAAATGGAATTAAATAAACATATTTTTTTAAAGTGTCATACTTGTAGGAATTCTTGTTTAATAACAAATCTTCAGTCAGTGCTGGCAGATCAGAGTGGGGTGTATGCTTGCCAGAGAGAGAGAGAGAGGAAGAAAGCACCCCTCAGTAGGATGTGGTTGTACTGCATCCCTTCTTCGTTTCTCCGTCCTGTCAGGGTTTTGAATACGCATGCACACTTGCTGAGTGTGCTTTTCAAGCAGCCAGGGACTGGGATTCAGACTGTGGTTAACCATGTGGAATCTGGTTCTCTTAACCACTAAGTTACAAGGCTGGCCCTCCCCTTCTTTTTGTAAATTTTGCTATATGGCCCATAGGCTTGCTGGAGAGGGAAAGTAAGAAAATACTCTTCTGGGGGATAGGCGTGCCACAGTCCCCTCTCCTCCATTCTCATGGGATTTTGGGCATGCAGGCATATGTGCTTAGTGTGTTTTCCAAGCCTCTGGGTAGGGACTTGAAACATGCTGTTGGCTCTGTGGGGTCCAGCCACCTTATCTATCATACCACCAACTGACCCAGGCTAGCCCTTTTTTAAACAAGTTAAATGTTTCCATTTTTAATTGCCTCTAAATATATATACACACACACACACATATTTATTTATTTATTTAGAGAATTTTAATAGAAGTGTTTGTGTGTGTGTGTGTGTGTGTATTTTTGAAAGAGTTTTGCTATTGGATATGTACACTCACAGGAAAGACAGAGAAAGAAAGCAAGAAATCCCCCCCCAGAGGGGATGGCAACGCTGCATTCCTTCTCCATTCTCCCTTTCTTTCCTTCCTTCCTTCCTTCCTTCCTTCCTTCCTTCCTTCCTTCCTTCCTTCTTTCTTTCTTTCGTTCTTTTTTTGAGAGATTTTCACTGTAGGGCGCGTGCGCTTGCCAGACACACAGAGAGAGACATAGAGACAGAAAGCGAGAAATCACCCCCCAGAGGGGATGGTCATGCCGCAATCCCTTCTCCTCCATTCTCCTCTCGGGATCTTGGGCACGCACGCACACGCGCCCGGCGTGAGTTTTAAGCTACCGGGTCCGGGACGCGAACCGCGGTCGACTACGTGGGAGTCCAGCGACATAGCCATTACGCTTACTGCTGGTTCCCTCAGCTCAGGTTTTAAGCTGCCAGGTCCAAGGTGTGAACTGTGGTTGACTACATGGGAGTCGAGTGATGGAACCATTACGTTATCTGCTGGCCTCAAGAGAACTTTTTTATTTTCTTTTAAATTATTTAATTTATTTAATTCCATTTGTTATTTTTAAAATTTGATCAGAGAGAGAAAGAGAAGGAGAAAGCAAGCTGCCAGGTCTAATATTTAAACTGCAGTTGCCCATGTGGGAATCCAGCACCCTTAACCACCATGCCACCTGCCGCCCACCCCCCCAGAGATGTTTATAAAAAAATAATAAAATTAAAGTTTTTCATAAGGCTTCTGCCCTCTCTAGAGAGAGACAGAGAGAAAGTGAAAAATCACACTCCAGGGGAATGGCCATGCTGCAATTCCTTCTCTATTTTCCTCCTGGGATTTTTGGGCATGCATGCACATATGCTCAGTGTGATTTTTAAGCCACTGGGTCCAGGATCCGAACTGTGGTCAGCTATGTGGGACTTTAACCAGCATACCACCTACTGGCCCTGAGAAGTTTTTTTTTTTTTAATTTTATTTATCATTAGTATTATTTTTAAATTTTGCTGTAGGGCACATGTGCCAGAGAGAGAGAGAGAGAGAGAGAGAGGAGAAAGCCAGCCACCAGGTCTGGGACTTGAACTGTGGCTGGCCATGTGGGAGTCCAGCACTTTAACCACCTCACCACCTGCTGGCCTTGACATTCTCTATTTTTTTAAAAAATAATTACTTATTTTTATTTAGTTCTATTTACTATTATTTTCAGTTTGGCCAGACAGAGACCGAGAGAGAAGGGGAAAGTGAGAAAGCAAGCCAACAGGTCCAGGACTCGAACTGCAGTCAGCCATGTAGGAATCCAGTGCCTTTAACTACAATGCCACCTGCCAGCCCCAGACATTCTCTATTTATTTAATTTTATTATTTATTTCTTTATGAAAGAGAAACAGAGAGATATGATAGGGAGGCAACCCAAACAGATTCTTCATGCTGTGATCCACTCCCAGCCTTGGCCAGTCTGGATCACAGGCATGCGCATGTTTGGTGTGTACAGAGAGACCTTGAGTCACAAATCTAGAAGCTTCTCATATAGGTCCAGCACTGGCAGAGTGTCATGTTACTGCCGTGCAGTTAGCTGGCCCTGATGCTGTTTTAATCTTAAAGACTAAGTCTAAAATCAGCTAACTTTACATGGAAGAGTTACATGGCATGAAACCTGTACTTGATTTTATATTTCAGAAATAGGTGATACTGGGAAGGTGCTTTCTTGCTTCTTCCTTTGGGATGCATAATGATGCTCTGGACTTGTCTATTTTTCTAGGATTTGCTATGTTTCACTAATTTGTAGGGTGTCTAGAGTTCATATTTTAACATTTCAAACAGTAGGAGGAATTACACATAGGCTGTTGTGTACTTTCACAGATAGTACGTCAGTCACACCCACATCAAAACTTGTGGAACAAGGCCTAGCTGTGCTGGCTCAGTGTTCTGTGGTGCTGGAAGCCACGTGGAAGACAAGGACTTGGTTCCTCAGTCAATTTGTATATGCTGGGTGTGTGTGTGCCCATGATCCTGGATGGGTGGGGAAAGGCTGGGGTGATCGTGATGTAGGATCCTGTTGGTAGTGCCTGTCCTTCTTTTTCTTTCTTATGGAATAAATGCATAAACTTAAAAAAAATTCACAGAGTTGAGGAATGGGTGTCACTGGCTTTAAAGAAAATCTGAGACAGTATTGGAGTTCTCTCGGGACCCTAAGGAACCAAATGGTAGTTAGGATCTGTAGGGGGTAAAAAATATCTCTGTAGGCTACAAAACCAGCCTGAGAGCTATGGCATTAGCTTGTTTATGGATATTTTTTTTTAAATGAAATGCTGCATTATTAGTGTTACTGACTACTCCTCCTCATGGGGTAAAATACTTGAATATGAGATAGAAAGTGATTTGTAAGTGTCATAATCTGAATGTGAAGTAGTTTTAGTAACATAGTCAACTTGTTTTGCTTGTAGTTTTCTTTTTATGTATGTAAAAGGTGTTATGTGAAAAGAATTTCAAATCTAAAAGAATTCTTTCAAAAATTAAAAGTAGAAAGTTGGTAAGAAAAGTCAGTGTTTTTTTCTTTATCGCTGGTATATATTATAAGCTAATGACTTGTCCAAATATATTACATAAAAGACTAGGTGAAATACATCACCCGAAATATAATAGATTAGATGAATATGAAATTGAAAATCTGGCCATAAGCTATAGGTGGTGCTGTTGCCCTTCATCTCATTTTATTCATTTTCCTATCTTTTTTTCTTTTTAAATTGCTAGAGGGTGCATGTGCATGCCTGATAGAGAAAGTGGGAAAAAATCCGCCCCCTAGGGATTGCCAGGCTGCAGTCTCTTCATTTCTCCCCTGGGGGTTTTGGGCACACACCATGAACTGTGGTTGGCCCTGTGGGATCCAGTTACCCGACCAGCTCACCACCGACTTGCCCTTATTCCTCTTTTAACTTTATGTGTTTTCTGTAGTTCTTACGAAAGAAACGAGTCTTGTTTTGTTCCCTCATCATCTCCCTTAGAGCTTTTGACTCTAGGTTAGGATAGGCAGTGAACAGGCCTGTGAGCTTAACCTAAATCTTAGCTCTGAATTGTCTTTCAGAATTTGCTTTTTACACTGTGCATGAGCCAGGTCAGTAGCAGTGTTCTCGACAGACCAGTGAGGTACAGAGAGACCTCATGAGTATTCTTGCAAAGAGATGACATCATCCACTCTCTCTGTGTGAGCGGTTCTGGAAAGCACATGTGCATGCGTACCTGCTGGCCCCCAGCCCATTTCAGTCTACCAGGGCCAGGATTCAAATGACGTGGGCAGCCAGGTGGAATATCCAGCTCCCTTAACCCCGAGGCCATGGAACCGAAACAAACACTATTGAAAGTAGACTTTTTAAAAAGAATTATTTATTTAATTTTATTATTATTATTTAAAATTTGCTATAGGGCACGAGAGAGAGACATAGAGAAAATGAGAAAGGAAGCCACCAGGTCCAGGACTCGAATTGCCACGTGAGAGTCCAGCGTTTTAACCACCATGCCACCTACTGGCCCCAAAAATAGATTTTCACAAAACAGTACTTACCAGTTACTTCACGAGTGCTAGTCATAACCCAGTAAATAGATTTTATGATTCTCTTATGAGGTTGAACCCCCATTTGAAAGACACTATATATGTATGCCTGTATGTGTATATATGTTTGTGTGTATACATGTGTAGGTTTCTATATCAGTATCTCTGTTCTCACATAAGTAAGCGAGCCATTGTGCGTTATGGATAGGAATCATAAATTTAATGATGGCTAGTAGGGACTTTACTGTCTTGGGAATTCAATACAAAATTATTTTATTTTGTAGGCTGGAGCATTGGATCTGCTGAAGGAGCTTAAGAATATTCCTATGACCCTGGAATTATTGCAGGTACGTGCCTACATGTATTACAGGTTTTAAATATGTAATTGTCTCAAAATACTGAAACATTTTCAGTACAAGTATATTTGTGTTGTGTTGCCCTATTATGGTATATCTTTTTTTTAAAGGCAGCATCAATCAGTAGCTCACTAAGCTGTCATTATATTACAGTGCCACCTCCCTCAAGATTAAGAGTCCTCCAAGAGTGGCAGTGAGCTCTCACAGTAAGAGGAGCTTGGACTTTTGGTCCTGATTTGGTCTCCAGGATTTCACTTTCTTATTTACCTTTGATAGCTGCTGCCAGCATGAAACGAGCTTCAGGCCACTGTTCTCCCTTCCTCTGCCATTTTAAGACAAGGTTTCCTTGTGACCCAGTCCTCGTGCCTTAGTTATCCAACTGGGGCTAAAGGCACATATTTTAGATGGGGTTTCACTTTGCCCAAAGCCCAGGCCAGCCTTGAGCTCATGGTTCTTCAACCTCAGCTAGGTTGCTGGGATTCTAGGGACTCACCACACTGGGCCTTTAGGTTGGACTGATAATTGAACCTGTGGTCCCAGCCTATGGAACATAACGTCTGAGTAGCACTCCCCACGGTAACTGGGCCTCTTCCTCTTGAGCATGTGTAGAGCATATACACACACAGTTGGGTATCTAGTAGGTGTTATGTAGATTCAGTAGGTTGTCCATCAAGTCTAAACCATAAAATAAAAACTTCAACAAAAGTCAAAATGTTGAAAGGGAAAGAAAATACAGTCAATAAAATAAATTTAACTGTTTTTTTTTTTTTTTAAGTTTGCTGTAGGGCTCACATGCTTGCCAGAGAGAGTGAGCAAGCAGGCGAGTGATTATTCCCCATGAGGATGGCCACACTGCCGTCCCTTCTCTGTTCTCCTGTTGCCGTCCCTTCTCTGTTCTCCTGTTGGGATTTTGGGCACATTTGCAACCCCCCCTGGCATGATTCTCAAGCCTCCAGGTCTAGGACTCAAACTGTTGTTGGCCACATGAGAATCCAGTACCTTAACCACTAAGCCACCTACTGGCTCCCCTTCCCCCTTTTCTATGTTGGTAGTTATTGTCCTTTTGCTTTCCAACATAGGCCTCTCTAAAGGATTTATCATAAGGCTGGTCTAGTAATATTGAATTCCCTCAATTTTAGCATATTTGGGCTTTATTTCTCCTTGTATTCAGAAAGATAGATTTGCTAGGTATATTATCCAAGATTGGTAGTTTTTTCTTTTAGTATTTTGAATATTTTATTCTATTCTCTCCAGGCTTGAACTGTTTATACTGATGAGAATTTCGTTACATATAATTTTATACTTTCAGATAAAATCTTTGTTGTTGTTTTTGCTGCTATTGTTTTTACCATAGGGTGTCAAGAGATAGAAAGAAGAAAAGTGAGAAATCATCTCCAGGGGGGAGGCCATGCTGCAATCCCTTCTCCATTCTCTTCTTGGGGTTGTACAAGAAACCAAAGTAAAATTAATATCAGAAGAGATGGAGGCCAGAGGACGTGGAGTTATACATTAAAAGCGATGTAAGGAACAAAAAAACTGTCAACTAAGAATTAAATCTCTAGTAAAACTATCTTTCAAAAATGATGGTGAAAAAACATATTCCCAGAGAAAAAGAAAAATCAAGTCCAAACAAGAACATGACTTACTATTTCTTTACTGAATGTTAATTAAAGGTCTATTATATATCAGGTGGATTAGGCACTGGGAATACAATGTAGTATAAAAACTGATATCCATTCGGTTTATGGGAGTTGGGGTGGAGAAGAGAGACATTAATTTTTTTAAATAATTATTTATTTTATTTTTTAATTTATTTATTCATTTATTTTTTAATTTGACCAGAGAGAGACAGAGGGTGAGAGTGAGAGAGAGAGGAAGTGAGAAAGCCAACCACCAGATTCAGGACTCGAACCCTGGTCGGCCATGTGGGAGTGTCCAGCACCTTAACCACCACGCCACCTGCTGGTCCCACGACATTAACTTTTTAATGACGTTAAAAGATGCAAATTAGAGCAGCGGTCCCCAAACTTTTTGGCACCAGGGACCAGTTTTGTGGAAGAAAATCTTTCCACAAATGGATGAGGAGGGGATGGTTTATGTGACAGTGCACAATCTAAATCCCTCACATGTGCAGTTCACAATTGGACTCATACACCTATGGGAATCTAATGCTGCCACTGATCTCACAGGAAGCAGAGTTCAGGGATTAATGTAAGTGATAGGGTGCAGCTGTAAATAGAGATGAAGTTTCACTCACTCACCTGCCACTCACCTTCTGCTGTGTGGCCCAATTCCTGACAGCTACTGGTTC